CCCCCCCCTTTATAAAAAAAAAAAAAAACAGCGGGCTCCCCCAAAGTCCACGGTATAGTTCGAACACTGGTTATACCCCTAGTGACTACAGTGACTATTTCATTTAATGACAACCATAATGACATAAAGTGAGTTATTAATAAGTATTACAACCTCAACCGCCTGTAAAATCTTATTTACACAAGGAGGAAATATGCATCTGAATGGTAGCGGTAAATAATTGACATGACTTTCTCTCATTCATATCACAACTACAAATTTTTGGATACCCAATTCAATATATGTGACCCTGGAGCACAAAAGCAGTCTTAAGTCGCTGGGGTATATTTGTAGCAATAGCCAACAATACATTGTATGTGTGAGTGAGTGTGTGTGTGTGTGTGTGTGTGAGAGAGTGTGTGTGAGAGAGTGTGTGTGTGTGTTTGTGTGTGTGTGTGTATGTGAGTGTGTGTAAGTGTGTGTGTGTGTTACAGTGCAGTCCCTGAATGATGACGCAGTTTGTGCGGTTTCATCTGAAATAGTGACGATCTGAATCAGAGCACACATACATGTTTTCCATATTCTTCATATTCCTCAGCGTTTGATCTGAGTGACATGTTCTTCTCTCTCATGTCATCTGAACTTAAAGCACATCTGGATGGGATTCAAGCTCTAGAAACTGAACAAAACCTGAATTAACTCTCTGGTATTGTTTATTTGGGAGTCACACTGGTGTTGTTCGAGGCCATAATCATGCAATAACTTTATTTTTGTGAAACGAATACACTACATTTCATTTCACAAAAATATTTCATGTTATTAATTAATATTTGTATCTAAATTATGGACTATTTTTGGTATAAAATGTAAAAAAATATATTAAAAAATAATTTTATATAATTGTTCAATTAATGCAGTATTTAAGTTAAAAATAGATCAAAAGTATTTAAAATCCATTGAATTGAGGCAGATTTGTTCCACCTTGTGGAAAAAATAAAGAAAATCACCTGTAATACCATGGTGTGGCCATTAGATGGCTGTATAGCTTTAAAGATGATTTTCTCAATATTTAGATTTTTTTGCACCCTCAGATTCCAGATTTTCAAATATTGTCCTATCATAACAAACCATACATCAATGGAAAGCTTATTTATTCAGCTTTCGGATGATGTATAAATCTCAATTTCGAAAAATTTACCCTTATGACTGGTTTTGTTCTCCAGGGTCACAAATATAGCTCAAATCACATCCGCTGATGCGATGCTCCTGCTTTGATCTGACACGCTAATCATGCTTCAACGTCAACAACCTCGTTTCTTACCGTGCAGTGAAAAAATATGCTTGTGCTGTGAATCAGGCAGTGAATGTGCTCGTTCTGAACAGAAACACCAGTCATGTGTCCTATCGAGACAATCCAGCACAGACTGCGTGACTGTTAGTGTGTGTGTGTGTGTGTGTGTGTGATTGTACGTCGCATGTGCGTTAGCTCCTGGTTTGCGCTCAGTTCGTGTCTGATGAGTGAGGTAGCAAAGGCAGGGCAGCTTCGCTGGGGTCCGAGTCGCTCGAGCTCAACAGCGCCTCCATCTGCTTCTCTAGCAGCAGCTGGCTGCTCTTGTCTGCGCAGTCGTCTGTGAACTGCAGGTAGGGCGTGTTCTTCAGAGCGTCGGGCAGACAGGGCACCAGGTGCAGCGCTCCGCCGGGCGTCACGCCCTTCACACAGGTGTAGAAGTCCTGTGGCGGCGTGAGGGCGGGGTTTAGAATCATGCTGTAGTCCATGCCTGGGACGCACGTGAGCTCCGGGTGGGCGGGGCCAGGGTTTGAAGGAGGCGGGGCTCCTTCGCAATAAGGGGAGGGGCCATTGTTTGAAGGAGGCGGTAGTTACTGAGCAGTGTTTTCAGGTATAACCGCTTAAGTTTTTGTCACCTCCTTCATTGCTGTGCATTGTGGCTGATTTGTAGATTGCACACACAAAAACATCTCTGTATTTTTGCCTATTTCCCATTCATTTCCAATGGTGGTCATTTCTGACCGTGAACAACACGAGTGGGACTACTAAACTTACTGCTAGTTTTAACACGAAATAAACATGAATGAACATCTCACGCCGCATGTAATCACTCAATCAGTGTTTCAACTGAGGAAAGATGTCAAAACAAATTGTCACGTAGCATTTCATTTACCTCAGGCAGTCATCAGTGTCTACAGCTCGTTAGTTCGCTAGAGAAACGAAGTCTAGAGAAGAGCATTTCACGAAATATTACACTATATACTCATTATATTTTACTTTACCTGTTAATGATGTCTTAATTAGTGTGTTTAAATAAATCTGTTATGAAACACGTTATGACAGCCACTGAGTAAATGAATATATTTCAACAACAAATAGAAATGTAGAAGCTCATTTAAAACCTGCATTATGTGCAATTTACATGTTTGCATACAATTTTTAAGTTGAGTGTTGATTATTATAGCTAAAAATAAATAGTAATTCAATTTAAGTTTGGGCTCTGTTGTTAATTGTAACCTTATAGTAATGTAAAAGGGCTCCCTATAATTAGAGCAGGTGGGCGGGGCCAGGGTTTGAAGGAGGCGGGGCTCCTTCGCAATAAGGGGAGGGGCCATTGTTTGAAGGAGGCGGAGCTCCCTCACTGTAGGGGGCGGGGTCAGGGTTTGAAGCAGGCGTGGCTCCCTCGCAGTAGGGGGCGGGGCCACGGCAGTAGGGCGCTGGACTGCAGCTCGTCTGCGCAGGTGGTTGTCTGTCGGCGATCGGTGTGTCCTCGCGTTTATACGGCGTCGCAGCCGGACATGGGTCCACGCTCACCTGGTAACACATCTCTATGCTGTACTGTGGCGACTTATAACCGTGAAAGCTGGAGAAATGACGATTGATCTCGTCAATCTTCCCCTTCTGGAGGAACAAGAAAGGACAGAAGGTAAAGCAGGTGATCTAAACACTACTAATAACTCAAATGGGTGTGTGATGTGTGACGGACTCTCAGACCTTCAGCAGAACCGGTTCAATCCCTCGGATGCGCGGCTTGGGAATCGGTGGCAGGAGGAACGATTTAATTCTGCAGGAGGAACATAAGCAGAGAAAGAAGTCAATGACAGCTAGTTATAATTACTATAACCTAACCCTAACCCACACACTAACCCTTACAGAAAACAATTCAAAAGTACTTATTTACTTTGTTTTTACAAATGAGGCCAACCCCGAAAGGAGGTTTGCTCAGATTTAACTCACTTCAAAATATGCAAGTACACATTGGTTTTGGTCTTTTCGTGGGGTTTTGCGATAGACTGCTATGAACCCTTTTCACAAGACTGTGATGATGCGTTTCAACGGTCATCAGCATCGTAAATCCTCAGGTTTTTTATAAAAAAACTAGTGGTGTTTCTAATGCAGCGTCTATGAAAGGGATTTAACCTCGTTCTCTCTTCTGACCGCCGTTATCAGTCTCGCTCAATTTTTTCCCTTTTTTTGAAAGTCGTGAAAACACTATCGTGGAGTTTTTCTTTTGTTATTTGAGCAAATGGGAATACTCATTATATTTTACTTTACCTGTTAATGATGTCTTAATTAGTGTGTTTAAATAAATCTGTTATGAAACACGTTATGACAGCCACTGAGTAAATGAATATATTTCAACAACAAATAGAAATGTAGAAGCTCATTTAAAACCTGCATTATGTGCAATTTACATGTTTGCATACAATTTTTAAGTTGAGTGTTGATTATTATAGCTAAAAATAAATAGTAATTCAATTTAAGTTTGGGCTCTGTTGTTAATTGTAACCTTATAGTAATGTAAAAGGGCTCCCTATAATTAGAGCATAAGCTGAGGTAGATTTTTATCCCTAAGAAAATTTTAATTATAACTGAATTTGAAAGAGCAATTTGTTCAGTAAAGCACTGTTTAGTAAAAAAAGAAGAAGAAGAAAAAAGCTATTTTATGTTTAGTTTTTTCCGCCTGCTGTATCGAAACCATGACGCTAAAACCGAGGTACGTATCGAACCGTCATGATTGTATACCGTTATACCCAGGGTGCGAACTACGGGGGAGCTAGGGGGAGCTCGGCTCCCCTTAATAAGACATGGGCTCCCCTGAAAACGGGATTTGTGAAATTTTGGGGGGTCTCAAAAAATATTGACAATGTGTTATTTTGACGTGCAACACACACTAACCCTTACAGAAAACAATTCAAAAGTACTTATTTACTTTGTTTTTACAAATGAGGCCAACCCCGAAAGGAGGTTTGCTCAGATTTAACTCACTTCAAAATATGCAAGTACACATTGGTTTTGGTCTTTTCGTGGGGTTTTGCGATAGACTGCTATGAACCCTTTTCACAAGACTGTGATGATGCGTTTCAACGGTCATCAGCATCGTAAATCCTCAGGTTTTTTATAAAAAAACTAGTGGTGTTTCTAATGCAGCGTCTATGAAAGGGATTTAACCTCGTTCTCTCTTCTGACCGCCGTTATCAGTCTCGCTCAATTTTTTCCCTTTTTTTGAAAGTCGTGAAAACACTATCGTGGAGTTTTTCTTTTGTTATTTGAGCAAATGGGAATGCAGAAAATATATTTGTGGTACTGTCCCATTCACTGCTCTTCAAGTTTACCTAACTATGACGACTTCTGCTGCTGAGAAACCTGAGAAATGTGAAAAAGGTCTATTGTTTTCATACTGACCTAACAGCATTCTCTGTCTCCTGAACTCTTAGCCTCACAGAGTTTCTTTCATACATATGGGTTTTTCTTAATAATGCATTTGGGTTTGTTTTATGTGTTTCTCAAAGCTAAGCATGCTACCAGAATTTGACAGATTTTCACTCAAAGTAAGAGAAAATTTGAAGGATGTCTGCAGATTCGTGACACTTCGTGACTGAACTGAACATCTGATCGAGACTCTGGATCCATGTGACCCAATGATGCAGATCTACAGATCCATCCGTGTAATTCATGTCGACAGTCCGTCGATACAGAGACCAGAACTCACTGACCTCTTGCCTCGCGGGGCGATCCCCAAACCCACGATGAGGAAGACCATGATGGCGATGCTGGTCACGAGGATCAAGGCCAACATCCGATCTGCGAGACAGACAGAGCGACATTTAGAGCTGCGACTATCAGTCGTGACAGACGAGTCCTGTGTGTGTGTGTGTGTGTGTGTGTGAGTGTGTGCGTGTGCGTGTGTGTGCGTGTGTGAGTGTGTGCGCGTGTGCGAGTGCGTGTGTGCGAGTGCGTGTGTGCGAGTGCGTGTTCTGCAACATGAAATTAGAGTTATTTGGAGAATAAGCCCTCTTAAATGTCCCTATACGTACTTGTGTGTGTGTGTGTGTGGGTGTGTGTGCGTGTGTGTGCGTGTGTGTGTGAGTGTGTGTGTGTGTGTGTGTACCGGACAGAGGTCTGCTGATGATGCTGATGTTGATGGACTCGCTCCATGTGCTCCAGTGTTTGCTGTTGGTGGAGCGGCAGCGCACCATGAACTCATACTTTCCCACCGGCAGATCCAACAACTCCACATGAGGCTCTCGCAAACGCTCTTTTACCTGCAGACACCAACAACACACTTCACCCACAAGCCCTCAAGCATAAATGTCTAAATGTCTTACAGTTTTTTTCAGCTGCTTACATTTTCAAAACGTTGCACTGCATTCAAAATATCAGACACATCTCAAAAGAAAACATTTGTGTTACGTTGCAAACACCTTTGCCATAATATTATATTTTTGGATATATCATATACACACAGTTATTCAAAACCTAAAGCTCTTCTTTCATAAGCTCCTGTGTACATTATCAGTTGAAAAAAACTGTAATTTCTGTTCTACAGTTATCGTAATGAAAACGGAGGCACTGTAAGCAGACTGGTGTCGTACCCTCCAGTTGTCCGGCTGAGCGAGGTGTCTGTAGCGCAGCTCGTAGACGAGCGTGATCCATCCCTCACGCACCTGAGACTCAATCGGATTCAGCCAGGACAGCAGAATACTGCAGCCCGATTCCCCCACGCTCTCGTTCAGCATGACGTACGACAGGTTAAAGGGCGGGTCGATCTCCACTGGGGACGAAGCACATGAGACTCGTTAACAGACATGATGAAACATCAGCACTCCAGCAAACCTCAGGAGAGTTCATTAAGACAAGCTGAACATTTATAATCGCGTCGTTGAGGCATTAAGAACCATTTTCGGTTCGCAAAGATCCTTTCAGTGGTCAGTTCTTAAAATAACCTTTTTTTCAATGTGTTTAATAGTCTAAAGAACATTTTTCCACTGTTATCTTTTTCAGTTCTTTTAGGAACTGTTCAATGAAAGGTTCTTTGGGGAACCAAAAATGGTTCTCTGTTGCATCGCTTCGATTGCTCCTTTTGGGACCTTTATTTTTAAGAGTGTAAACAATTTTGTATTCAATGGAATAGGGCTGGGGGAAATAAATCGATGCATTGCGAATCGAGAAATGATTCGATTCTGAGATTTTTAGAATGCATCGCGATTTTCTCTGGAATCGATTCTGAGCTTAGTTTTGAACAGTAGATGGCGCTGCATGCTTCAGAAACAGACTCTGCTTGTTTCCAAATCCTTACTCACACTTGAACCTAAAATAATCCTTCATAAAGTTCGAAAAGGTTGAAGTGAATTACAAGGGTGTTCACAGTGGGCTGTGTTTACATTAATGTGGCGTCATAAAAGCATTCTGAGCCGAGGTGCTCTTCAGCGCACTTCTTCGTGAGTATTTGAGTCTGCGGTTAAAAATTAGATCAGAGCACCATCTGCTTTTAAAAACTAAGCTCAGAAACGATCCCAGAGATAATCGTGATGCATTCGGAAAATCTGAGTATTATTAGTAGACTCTCTGCTTAATGTCTTCTAACACTTTATTTTGATGGGTCCACAACATACTGACTATAAGAAACTTTGCAAGTATATGTCAACTTATTCTACTAATCTTAAACTTAACCTAACAGTCTACTCTGAGAGTTAATAGACATGTAGCAGCAAATTAATGAGAATTAGTTGACATGTAGTTGCAAAGTTATTATAGTTAGTAGAATGTCTAAAGTGGAGTATCAAAATAAAGTGTAACCCTTTATTTTAAGAGTGTATGGATGTTGAAAAGGCTCTTTATGGAAACGGCGATGCCAAAAAAGAAGTGTAGGGCGAGATAAACACGCAGACTCTTTGGGATATCGCAATAAGAAAACTGCATGTATGCTAGGTTGAGAAAGATAAATAAATGTCTGTGCCGAGCTCATTGGATGAAACTGGAGAACTGCAGTCAGAAGAGTTGATACTAATACTAATATTTCCTATGTCAGCTGTGTCTTCAGTGTAATGCATCACCTATATCAGCCACGTCCACGCAGTGTTTGCGGGAGGCGATGGGTCCGGCGCGTGTGTGCGCCGTCACGTTCATGCAGTACATCTCCCAGACCTGAGTGTGTCTGGCATCGAAGAAGCAGCTGTTGATGCCGCCGCTCACGTAATCGGGACACTCCTGAGGAGCGCGCTCACTGCGGGGCGACATGACCACTGTTCATTTCATCATCTGATCACCAGCAGCATTTACACTCTACAGATACACTAGATCAGTGTTGTTTCTGTAAAGTGTGTTTCACTCATGTCTCACCCCGTGGTGTACTGGAGCGTGTAGGTGACGTTGTCCTGATTCGCGATCGGACGCCACCAGCAGGTGAAGATCTCCATGTTGGGCGAGCGGCAGCGGTAAATATACGGCCTTGTTCCATCTGCAATGTAAGAAACAATGACTTACGATCTCAATGAAGATGTTTATTGACAAAGTACATTCTCAAACCTTTTTTTAAAGTCAAGGCACATTCAGCTTTAATGATTACTCTATTAGCGTCCGCAGCAATACGCAATAATGTTCTGATTATTATAAGTGCATGCTGCAGTTTTATTGTTGACTTGATTGCACAGATGCTATTTGAACTGATCTGAGCTGATGATGACATCACTGAATCAACGATGAACTGACTTTAACTGGAAAACTGACAGCAGAATTTAATTTTCTTTGCATTATCGACACACTGTTTTCCTGTTTAACACTGTAAAGCTACTTTGACACAATCTGTAGTGTATAAAGCACTATAGAAATATAGCTGAGTTGACTTAAAGGGAAAGAGCTTACACTATGCAAACTAGGTGTACCACAAGGTTCAATATTGGGTCCGTTGCTTTTTTGTTTCTATATAAATGATTTACCTGAAAGTTGCAAGGAGGTTGAATGGCTTGAGGGTGAGTGAATCATGGGCTAATTTTCATTTTTGGGTGGACTATCCCTTTAATGTAAATTGAGCATTTGCTCAGGATCTGATCACCCTGAATGGTGCAGAAACAACTCAAGTGTTGACCTGGATCTTGTCTGTAATAAATCAAGCTCTTTGGGTTGATTGATTGCTCTACTGGAAGCAGATAAGAGTTTTATGGCAGGTGTTGTAATTTCGAACTGCAACATCAAATGTGAACATAATAAAACTTTATGAGGAAGAACAACATATTGTGGGCAATGAAGACAATCAGTTGTGTTCTTGATTGGTCAATCCAGTGATCCAATAACAGCACCCCTGACAGTAGCGCTAGTCAATCATTAGCGTAGCACAGAATACACATCCTTCTCGCCTTCATGCTATTGGATGCTGGTAGTGGGCGGAGCAGATCTGAATGTGAGTTTGATTGACAGTCACATTCAAATATTCTCCCTGAACATGAAACACCAAAAGATTCACTGCTCTAATCGGATGGAGCGCGTGCTCATCTACGGATACCGACTCGCTTATTATATAGTCGCATGTTTATTTGCTAAGAGCAAAACTCACACAAAACACTCCATTATGCAGGTTTCTCTGCCCGTTTGAGATTATGACATGTGGGCTAATGCTAGCAACTATGCTAATCTGATTTAGCCGCTACGCATTCCTACAAAACACAGAGACACAGAGCGCGTTGTGAGCGAGTAATAAACACAGCAATGAGCGGTTAAAACCGGCTTAAAAGTTCAGCAGAGTTTGTAGAGTTCATACAGAATCATTCGAGAGGCTGCTTGACTGGTGATTTTAGATCAGTCAGTTTTTACACTGAGTTATTAAAGAAGGTAATGCAAAAACATTAAAATACTGCAACACTGAATACATAATGCAAAACCAATAACTCAGAATATAAATCTCAGTTCACACTGCTTTTAAAAGCCAGCAAGACTGAACATGAACACTGACACACATTCACACACACTCTCTCACACACAGTTTTATGAAGTAGAGTAAACTGAATTGACTGGATCTCCAGTGATGGAGCCTCATGATTGCACAGATTACTCATGCAGCACTGATCTCGGGTCAGCGGTCGCTCACACCAGAGGATCTAGCACACGTCCATCAGTGAATCTTTATGTTTGATAGCCCTTCCTGATAGGTCTCCATGGTGACCCGTCTTCCTCTGAGACGACCTCGTGACCTTTCACACGGCAAACGCGTTATGAATCATCCTGCGATTTCACAGATTTCACGAGACCATCATGTCACACAAACAGCAGAAGAACACAAGCAACATCTCCGTCTGAACTGCATTTCATCACAGCCTTCAAATCACAGACAAGTTTGAGCAAAACTCTGATAATTGATGCTCTTTGTGCCAAGACTTGATTCTGGCATCACTTCAGACGCAAACTGAGTCTGTTTATGGAGTTCATGTTTCTGAGAGGTTGATTACATATGGTGGTCAGCGTTGCCCTGGGCAACCGGTTTTTTTTTTTTTTTTGTCTTGTTTTCCAATACAAATATCTGCCAGCGGGCTCAGAACAATCTATGTAATTAAAAGGGAAAACAAGTTTTCATTCCCCACTGACAGATATTGTTATTCTTCGTACTGTTTTGTGTTCAATCTCTGGATGGACTCAATGTGCCATAAACCTGCTCCAGCGGGTGAGTTAAGGACTCCAGTTCTGTGCTTGTTTGCTTTACCTGAAACAACCTGTCATCACACGGTGACGTCACGTGAAACATAAACCGGAGGAAAACTCGAAACCAGAGCGGATGGAGTCCCGGGAAATATGATGCTTCCAGCAATTTCATTGTCAGAGTCACAAAAGAATGAAAACAGGTTTGTGGAGAATTACTAAAAAAATATTTTTAAAAATCTAAAGCTGTTAACTAATTGATTTAGATTGCATTTCAGAGCTAATGTGAAGTCAATCAGTGTCACAAATCCATGCCGGAGAGAACGCACAGAATCAGCTCCTGGAATAATCTCAAACCAGATCCATGAACAAACACGATCCTCCAGACGATCACATGATCTAAATCAACTCTGATGCGTGCTTTCAGATTCGGTTTGCATTTCTTCACCATTCCACTCGATCCCAAACTGGAAAAACCAGGCATTCCTCTGAAAAGCAAACAGCTGCCTCAGGAACTCATCTCTAACGAACCCATCTGAACTGTCTAAACCAATTAACAGCATCTTCCCATCGGCGCTCGTCTGGAACACGACTTGGGCTTTTCTGCCTCGTGCGCATCAGAATGTATAATTCAAGATCGAAGGCTTTTTATTATTATTATTATTATTATTATGATGATGATGATGGAATGTTCAGATGAGCCAAGACTATTCAAACTCCAACTGTCAAAATTCAAAGTTAAACTCCCAGAATCCCTTGCGACTCAATCAAGCTTCCACTCTAATATTTCTAATCTATCTATCTATCTTAGCGACATGCTAATCATGTTAGAAACATACCAACAACATGCTAGTGACATGCTAATCATGCTAAAAACATGCTAGTGACATGCTAGCAACATGGTAGTAGCATGCTAATCATGCTAGAAACATGATAGTAACATGCTAATCATGCTAGAAACATGCTAGTGACATGCTAATCATGCTAGAAAGATGCTAGTAACTTGCTAATCATGCTAGCGACATGCTAGTAGCATGCTAACCATGCTAGAAACAGACTAGCAACATGCTAGTAACGTGCTAATCATGCTAGTGACATGCTAGTCACTTGCTAATCATGTTAGCAACATGCTAGTAGCATGCTAATCATGCTAGCGACATGCTAGTCACTTGTTAGTCATGCTAGCAACATGCTACAAACATGCTAGCGTCATGCTAGTAACTTGCTAATCATGCCAGCAATATGCTAGTAGTAAAACATGCTAATCATGCTAGAATCATGTTATCAACATCTATCTAATCTATCTAAATTTTCAAACTTCAGGCTTTTAGAACTGCTTTAAACTTTCAGGCTAGGCTTTCTCACGCCAACCTAAAGTTTGTCTTGACAAACTTTTTTATCTAGTTTAAGATATGCTGCTGCCTACAGTGAGTTCTTCACATCAGCATAATGCTGGTGAAAACACAACACCATATCTGAACAAACAGCTCACATGACACACGTAATCAGACTGTGATTTATAGATTTCTCCATCACACAGCAGATTTACAGCACTGCTGATGATAGCGAGCAGTAATAAAGTTCATCCACAGAGACTCGGTGACGCTGCAAAGCTGCTTCACTCACTGCATTTTCTGAATAAAGCGTCTCGTTAAAACAGAATCCGGCGGCGCTGACTCAGAAACAGTGGGAATGATGGTAAATTTACAACTGAATCACACTGGAGGACTGCTGCTGTGAATACACTGGTGCACAGGTTGATACCGCGGTAATTCTTATGTGACTGCACAGATTGGGCTCATTTTCGATTATCCAGGATTTCCTCAGCTGCTGAAGACATGCGTGTGTTATGGAGACTAATTAGATCTGTTTGAACTAGATTTCCCCCTCGTGTCGTTGCATAAGCTGCACGTTTCTGATTCATCTGTTTATATATTTACAGTCAAACCAAAAATTATTCATACACCACATATAACTTTTGATATTTTTTTACTAGACACTATAGTTAATTTATGTCAAAATAAAGTAAACTGTGACCGGTAACACATTTTATTTTAGGGTCTCTTAACTAGTTGCTTATTAGCATGCATATTACTAGAATATTAGCCATTTATTAGTAATTATCGCTTCTGAGTGCAAACAATGCTGATTACGTTGATTATATTCTGGGGAAAGCGCGCACATGCATCTTGGTACTCTCCAAAGCTGAATTTTTGGTTGATTGTAATCCAGTACATACCTTTCTATCAAAGTTATCTGACATTATCAAGATGCGTTTGTTCTGACACTCTTGAGTTCTTGTCATATTTTATTACCACTTTCTAAACTATAGTGAATAAACTGTGACAATGTCAGCAATGTTGAAGGTGTCTGAATAAATGTTGGTTTGACTGTATCCTACAATCTAGAATTAAACTGCTGGCCAGAGAACGGAGCACTATTTCCCTGTTTAATACAGTAGAGCTGCTTTGACACGATCTGCATTATAAAAAGCGCTATATAAATAATGGTGACTTGACTTGACTTGTATCTTCACTAATAATGTAAGAGATGCACAGCATAAAGAAGAAGTCGCTCTTGCAGGATGTGCGCGCCTCAGATAACTCGTATTTTGCAGTATTGATCATCTCGATCATGTGTTTAGTGTACTGATCTTCACTCACCGTCCTGCAGGCTTGCGGCAGTGTTTGTGGACGACTGCAGCGCTGCAGTGACCAGCGTCCAGAGGAGCGTCAGGAGCAGAAAGCACAGCATCACGCGTCTGCAACACACACACACACACACACACACACACACACTGCAGGTTACAACTATTCAGTTCACATTTACTTATAGCTACAGTTGCGTTGCTGGGTTTTAAAGCAGGTTTGATTTTTTTTCTTATCAGTCTGTATTTACAGCAATTTCACTGTACACTCGGTTCAAATATGGATGAGTTGCTGCATGTAGATGCGTGAGATCATTACCATGCTGCTTTTGTGGGAAGGGGTGTTGGTTAACTCCCTTGTTTCCTTTCTATAGGTTTTTAGCATTCTAAAAGCTCTTTACTCAGTGTATTCTGTACCGTAATGCATTGTAAGTTGCTTCAGAGGCGCAAGGTATTGCAAGTATTTCATACAACAATAATAAAACAGAGTGTTTTTACATAGAAAAATAAATTTACTTTTGGTACTTAGGTACTTTTAAACGCAAGTACTTCTGTACTTTTAGCTACTTAAGGAAAAATCTGTCTTTACAACTTTGACTTGTAATGGAGTAATATTTTACCAGCAGTATCTGTACTTTCACTCAAGTAATGGAATTGTGTTCTTTGTCCACCATTGCATACACAGAAAACAAAACAAAAACAACATGGTTAAAAATGGCCATTTATAAAGCGGATAGTTCCGGTGCTTGATTCTGATTGGCTGAGCCGCGTTCGAAGCTGTTGTAAATGACTCTACAAAGTAACACACACCTTTGTTTACGTTTGTCTGTTGCTCGGCAACCACTTTGTTGCAACCACAACTGTTTCTGAGGAGCTACATTGTTTGGTGGAAGAATACTGTTTTTATTAATATCATTACACTTTATTTGCTCTGTTTTATTTTGTGAAACCTTACTACGTATATGGAATAACCGTTTTATAAAAGCAATAAGCCCCGTGAAGCCGTGGTTTACAGTGAATTTATAACAGCTATAACTCCGCTTCGCGTTGTACCTAACAACACCCCTTAGCTGTTATAAATTCACTGTAAATCATGGCTTCTTGGGGCTTATTGCTTTAATATACTTTTCACAATAAAGCTTTACAGAGAGTGCATGTTTCTACATTACAATCCAAAGTGGAAACAAAACACAGTCTTCATCTACACTCACGCATGACGTGCACACATACATGTAACATTTAGACTGACGGTGACACACACAACATGATGATGATGTTTCAAATGTCAACTCTTTTTACACGCGTACAACTTCAGAGACGTACAGTATATGTGCAAGCCTATGATCTGTTGACAAGGGCTGATGGGAACTGGAAATACTGGAACCTTCGCCATTCAGACTCAATGTTTGTCTTTAAATGGCAGCGAAACCTCATGAGATTCAGTCAATGCCGGTTTGCTGGATGTCAAATCACACACGGCTGAAAATAAAGCGTTTGATGATGCATTTACACAATCGTTTAGCAGGTAAACCTAAACAATCAGCACTGCACAGCCATCCCAAACTGCCTTTACTTCATTATCAATGATGTTTCAATTGCATATAAAAAAAAAGGTTAAAAAGGGCACGCTGTGCGCATTAATATTCCCTCTGGCCTCTTATTCCATCTCACATAACAAAATATAATTAACACAACAGTAAAATCAAATCTGTGAACTCCATGAATTCAATATTCAATCATCCTCAACAGAGCATTTGTTACTGTATGTATGATAAAGGGATTGTTTACCCAAAAATTATGTTCTGTCATCATTTACTCGCCCTCATGTCCTTCAAACCTGCATGACTTGAAGATGTTCTGGAGAACGTTAGGAACTAAACAACATCACTGACTTTGACTGCATGCACAAACAAAGACATTGTTGGGAATATCCTGAACATCTATAAAGTCAGACAGGTTTGGAAGAGCATGATGAATGCTCAAAATCTGAATAAAAAACAGATGTGCACAAACATGCAGGCTTTCATTGACGTCAGTCACGTCCTCGTGATCATACATCAATGACATTAAAGTCATGAAGAATAAAGAGTCAATTTATGAAGCAGATAGACACACACACACACACACACACACACACACGTCTCCTCTGATGGTGAGAGTCATGAGACTGATCACAGGACTCGGCCTTCTGTCGCCTGCAGTCTCACTGAACCACATTAAACACAGTCGGTTTGAGACGATGAACACAAACATTCCTTTCTGATACAGATCATTTAAACAAGAGGAGGAAATTTGACCATTAGTTAACAATGCAATAAAATACAATACTTAAATCAATTATACAATACATTTTATTTCTATAGCACATTTAAAACAACTGACGTTGACCAAAGTGCTTTCCAGCACCATTACATACAGTCACACAAACAAAGACCTGATCCCTCTAATCAATTCTAAAAGCTCTACTAAAAAGGTACGATTTCAATCTAGACTTAAAAGCATCCACAGATGGGGAAGATTCCATAATATGCATTGGAAGAGGGTTCCGTAATCCCTGAGAAAGCCCTATCACCCTTTAATTTTAATCTCGCTTTAGGAACATGAAGAATCATCTGATTCGAAGATCTCATGTTTCTTGTATTTTGATAAGGGATCAAAAGGTCAACGATATATTTTGGGGCAATGCCATGCAATGCTTTAAAAACCCTCAACAACACCTTCAATTCAATTTTACAGGCAAACCAAGACTGGGGTAATTCTCTCTCTTCTTTGTGCGAGTCAAAATTCTGGCAGCAGCATTTTGTACTAACTGAAGACGAGATAATTGACCCTGTGAAATACCTATATATACAGAATTACAGTAATCGATGCGTGATGATACAAAGGCATGAATAATAGACTCCAGGTCCTTAAAAGAGAGAACTGATTTCAGTTTAGAATGAATTCTGAGTTGATAAAAGGCAGCCTTCACAACACTAGTAACCTGTTTATCTAAAACTAAAGCTGAATCCATTATAACACCCAAATTCTTGACATGATCTGAAACACTTATCTTCATAGAGGCCAGTCTATTTAAAATTTCCTTGGAAGCAGAAGAAGGTCCAAAGACAACACACTCAGTCCTATTAGTATTAAGGTGAAGAAAATTGCTAGCCAACCAGCCTTTTATTTCATCTAAACACTGAGCAAGTCCATTAAAGGACTGAGAGCCATTTGGATCTATTGGAATATATAACTGGGTGTCGTCTGCATATAAATGATACATATTATTATTATATTTACGAAAAATTGAGCCCAAGGGGCCCATATATAATGAAAATAAAATAGGCCCAAATATAGACCCCTGTGGCACACCACTATGTAATTTAGCTGATGTAGGACACAAATCTTCAAGGCAAACCGAGCAAGATCTATCTTTTAAATATGATTTAACATTTAACATGATTTTAACATGAACAAATAACACAGAGATGACAACAGAGGTGAATCGAGTTATGACGTTATGATGAAGAATTGTGAAGACAAACATGATCAATCAATAGCTATGTTTCCATCCACCTTTTTTTATGTGCATATCGCATAAAAAATGCCAAGATGCACATCAGTTTTAAAAAAACTTATGTGCTCACCTAAGTATAGCATACATTTTTTATCCGGTAAGAAAAAACATGTGCATAAACTACGATAGAAACACTTTTACCGAATAAATTCCTTAATGCACATAACTGGACCAACCAATGGACCGATCTCATTGCACAGCATCTGAAATGCTTGAGCAAAGTCTCGTCAAAGTGCTTCGTTATAATTAACTCCGAGAATTGCGTTCCCAAACAGCAGGCTCCGAAAATAAGATAACATGACCGCGTTTTGTCTGTGCGATCTGAAGCTCGTAATTTATTGTATACACAAATGATTATATACTGTACAGTCCTACTACAGCAAATTACATTTTTCTTCTTGATGTTTAGCGCAAGATAATCAGGAAGTTTAATGCACTGGATGAAACGGTGCTTTATTCGCAAATGTTTTATGCAATATTCCAATTTTGCGCATAAGTTTAATTCGTAACTTTGGATGGAAACATAGCTAATCACAATGTCTTGTTTAATACTGTAAAGCTGCTTTGACTCAACCTGTATTGTAAAAAGCGCTATATAAATAACGGTGACTTGACTTGACAATAAAAGCAGACACATTAATGAAGAGAGTCATTTGTCTGCTAACATTAAAGATCCCTTCAATCCCATCAGATCTCCTTCACTGCAGAAATACAGATGGTCAAAGCGGAGAAAGAAAGTTCAGGGCATTCAATATTCAGTCAGCGGCTGTAATCGCATAATTAATCTCCGCACCGTTTCCTCGAAAGACCAAAGTTTGATCTAATAATGTTACACAAAAGCAGAGTGACGACATGCATGTGTTATAAAAGCGTCTTTAATTAGTAAAGCTCTGTAATGAAAGCCGTGATTGTGCTGGAAGAAGCGGTGATCCGTGTTCATGTATGTGGACGTCTGCTGGGGCATGATGTGATTGCTAACGCTCTCTCCGCGCATGCTAGTCATTATCTGTATGAACTCAGACCTGCTCAATGATCCCAAACACACAAACACAAAGTGAAAAAGTGAAAAAACGCCTTTTCTGAAGCTCCCGCACTGAAGCTCCCGCATGCATTCGGACTAAAGCTTGTCCAATATCTGGAGGAGCTTAAGAGCTTAAAAAGAACAGCAAGAATGACCAGAGATTTACCGGCCGGCGCTACTGTCACCGGATTACACCGACATGACGGATAATCTTTATTCTCCCATCAATCCAGGGACACTATTAACCAGTACTGACACTACTAACTCAACCACTCCATCAGCATGGGCTGATAATCAATGAATGCCATTAATGACGTGAAATTTATATTTCAAATAATAAACTCACAAATCAAAGAGATTTCAGTGCATTCCAAGAACAATCTGTAGAAATACGGCTCAATATACCATTGTAAACATGAAGGATTTTTTAGATATTGATTTTCACAGGTGTTTTACCTGTATTTGTAATGATGCATTCTGCATTCATTATTTGTTTCCATCCCATCTTGTCCCATCTATATTTATATTTTCGTC